GGGGGGCCGAAGAGAAGCCGTCTGCTGGTCGCAGATCCGACGAAAATGTGCCTCCTTGCCATCGACCGCGTCCGACTCGCTAACACTCCGCAATCGCAAGGCCGTGCATGTGGCCGTTCCCCGCACTCGACTCGCACACCCGTCCGTACACTGTACGACGAGCGCGACCATATCGTACCATGCCACAGGGACGGAGGCAGAAGGTATGTGTGACCACGCTAGTGCCGGGCATACAATATGGTATTCAAGATTACGGGTGCCATTATGGCGGGCAAGGAACGGTCCGTTGCTGGTGTGCCCCTGACATTGGAGCTCGCTCGTCTCTGTAATCACCTGTATGACATCAGCGTCTGGCACGCCCACGTACAGGCAAGCAGGTACATCGGAGCATTCTGCTGCCTTTGCTGGTCATGAGGAACGCCGTGGTGTCTGCCTAAGCTTGCCTGCCTCGCCTTGCTTTAGCTTTGCTTTGCACTGCGCGGCATACGAAGGCGAAGTGAGTGCCTGAGGAGTGGGAGCCTCCTTGCAGCTGCTGCGAAGAGGATCAGGGCGCGCGCGACTCAGCTTCGTTGAAGAAAAGAGACCTGGCCTCGCTCTGGGTGCCGGAGCCGACGCACGGCTGTCCAGCAGAGTTGCGAGCTGCGAACAGCGTGAGCAGTGTGAGCACCGCCTGCCTCGGCTTGTTGCTGGTCGCCGTCGCCAGCAGGGGATGCTGCTCGCCTCTCATTTAGGCTCGCCACTACCCGGACTACAGGTACTTACTCTGGTGGCATGAGAGCGGCGTTGCTTGCCGCCATAACCTGGTGCGGGCGAGCGTGCAGCGTCTGAGCGGTTGCTGCGTGGGCGCGCGTCTACAGGTACCTCGTCTCGATCGAGCCGAGCGGCGCTACGGTATAACCGCCAGCCTACCGACACCATTCGCCTTGGCAGTACAGCACACCGTTCAGCAAAAGCATGCATGTATCGCCGCTGCCAGGTGGTTGGCTCGGGAGCAGTAGCAAGTCGAGCTAAAGGCAGCCAAGGTGTTGTGCTGTACATACTGTGTGTAACAAATCGAAAGCGATCGAACCAGGCGATGCAAGCGAAAGGATGGTGTCGGCACGCCAAGGAGCACAAGCAAGCTATGGTCTCTGGAAGCCCCTCGCCGGTACTGTGTACATACGCTGCAGGCAAAAACGGTCGGCCGCGAAATGTGCCGTTAAATTGCGAGATATTGGAAGTTGATGGTGGTCGCTCCCGCAACCAAGCTGCCTGGTCTGGGCCTCAGCCTGCCCTTGACCCATAGCCTCGAGCCCGGTCCTCGGGACGATGTGACTCTGTCGTTGTCATCGTCGTTGCTGCCTGGGCGCGCGTCCATGCCGCTGGAAGTTGTTGCCATCTTCTGCGCGGTCGGACAGTTTTGGCAGGTCTCACTTCGCAAGAGATAGAGGTCCGGTGTTGGTCGGAGAGCAAGACCCAGACTTGCGGGGTAGATAGCCAAGGCGGGGTAGACTGCTGCTGCTTGTTTCTCCCAGCATGGTGCGCGCTGAGGCCTATAGGGCCAGGCAGGGTGGGTCGGCCTAGCCTGGCTGTTCAGCTGACCGCGACGTCTGGGCGGCGCGTCTCTAGATTTGGCGAGACATACATGGTAGCCAGCTTCTGCTTCGTCCAGCATCGTCCATCTCCCAGCCCCACGTCGTCGACCCAGAGGCCAGACCAGGCCAGGCGGTGCGGCGCGGCGCTCGTGACCTCCGCCCATCTCCTTGCTTGTCGCCTTGATGGCGACATGGTGACCTCTTTCCAGGACGCCATCCGTTCGCATGCTACGGGGGACGTTATCGCTGGGCGTCATGGAGCTTGCTGCCAATCTATCGCCAAGTTGAGGTGATGGAGCTGCTGCTTTGCCGCCGTCAGTCTGAATTGCTCACGCCCCATTCGGCTGTCTTGTCCTGGTCGAGGGGCAAGTGGTCGCAGCCAGCTTCTTCTACCCTAGCCTGTCGACTCCGCAACCCGGAAGGATCCCAACCCGAACATGTCTCAGAGTGGTACGGAGCAGAGGCGCGTTCTAGAATCGCAGTCCCGTAGCACGCACGCAAGCAAGCACCCTGTGATAGAACGCTTAGAGTCGCCTTGCAGGCAGGTAGATGGGAATCTGTCCATACAGCCGTCGGTTGCTCACCTGATGAGCTGGTAGTGCGACGACCGCCAGACCTTGAACGCTTCTTGACTGAATCACCTTGCTTCTTACGACGGTACTTCCCATGACAGAAATCGAAGGAGATGCCTTGTCTCGGCCATCGCAGTGGCTACGGCACGTCGCAACCACTGCCGGACTCAAGAAGCCTCGATCGACTGAGACCGACGGCGTGAGCCAGAGACATCTGCTGATCTGCCTCACATCAGCAGCGATCACACGCCGGTACACTACTGACACCGTACTCTGTGTCGTCGTCATTGCCTTGCGCAGAACGGTCGGCCGTGGGATGCTCCTATCAGATGGGTGCGGGGCATCCGACCTGCTTGTCGGTCGATACAAACATACGTGCACGGCTCGCAAGGCCCGGATCGGGTCGGGTCGGGCTGGGCTCGTAGTGCGGGGTCCAACAGCCACGTTGCGTCGGAGTAACAGCTCAGGAGGAGGCCTCGAACCCGAAGCTGGACGGCACGGCAACGGTGCTTGGCTCTGTTCATCTCTTTCCCTTTCCCTTCTTTGCCAAGCGGGCGTGTGCCCTGATATGCACACGGTACCGCCAGATAACGAACCAGTACTCTAGCTGCGGTGTCCTGGCTCGAATCTCGAGTGCGGGGTACGCGCAGAGGGTTGCCTCGGTGGGTGCAGTCAAAGTCACGGGTGATAGTCGCGAAAGGGTCGAGACCAGGCCCCGCGCTTCCCGTTCGAGCAGGTAGACATTCTCTTAGCTTTCCTTTGTGGTGCCAGATGCATGGGTCAGCATCGTCCACGAGTGAGCCACGAGTCAGCACCGCGAGCCGCGTCATCCAGGCCCGGCATGGCCTCGCATTGCCGCCACGGAACGGCGGGGCGGGGCGGGCGAGCGGAGCCTTGCACGTCCGTCGAAGGCTGCGCAACGAGGCCTGCCCCCTGCCTGAGGACCACGCGAGCGGGTATGTACATACAGCAAAGCATGGAGGTGAGGCAGGCAGGCAGGCAGGCTGGCAGACGGGGAGCGTGGCACATCCATCGGTACCTGAACAAGTCGGGTGAGTGACCAAGTAGCCAGCTAGGTAGCTGAGAGAGCATGTCGGTCTGTTTGCCAACCGGCCATCGTACCTTTCTTTTCCGCTGCTGGTGGTGCTGCCGCTGGTGCTGTCGCTGCTGCAGGCTACCCCGCACACAAACAGTCGGGTACCTCGAGCAGGCTGCAGAGCTCGGTCGGCATCAAGGAAAAGTTCCAGGCAAGCAAGCAAGGCAAGCATGACGGGTGGACGGGACAAGGGTCGAGGCTAGGCCGGTGGGGTGACCTCTGTCTGGGCTTGGCTTTCCCTTTCGAGCATGCTGCAAAACGTGGCGGTCAGGCGGAGCTGCAATTCCCTCCACTCCCGCTTTGATCCCTTGTCCGGACCGTCGACCGGGCAGGCTTCCTCCCCAGGTGATAACGTGCGCCCGTATTGTGCTTCCTTTCGCTGCTGCAACTTGAGCAGTCGTGCCAGTCTGAGCGCTCGCGGGTTGCCTGGATGATGTGGTAAGGCGCGACGGAGGAGCACCCCAGCCCGGGCCAGGCCAGGCCGCAGTACGAGGTCGGCACGCGCGCGCGTGTTTGTGGCCAGACCAGTCTCGACCGACGTGCCATCTTACTCACCCTCTTGCTTTCCCACGACTCCGTCCTCGCCGCGAAGTCGGTGCGAGAGAGAGAACGAGAGCGCGTGCGGGAAATGGGTCCTTGACTCTGACTAAACCCTTGAACTGGGACAACGGTGAAATCGATCGGTACTGTACCTGTACGTACGGCACCGGGGTCGGGATGGCAGCCCACAGAGAGAGAGAGAGGGAGAGAGAATGAGTGGCGTGAACGTGACCGGCAAGGCCAGGCCAGGCAAAGCAGGAGGCCGCCAGGCAAGCGACCGAACCCCTGGACCCTCGCCATGTTCCCACCTCCCTCCATCTCGGATGTACTTATCCCTCTGCATGAATTGAGGGAGAGCGCGGCGCGAGCGCGCGCGCGCGCAAGACGAGACGGTGAACCGATGCCGAACCGTGGCGTGACCTGCTGTACGGTCCGTACCCAGGTGGTGGTAGGGGGCTGTGCAGAGAAGATAGAGGAGCAAGAGGTCCGTAAACGGGCTGGGGTCCAGCACGTTGAGGCTTTCGGGAGTCGGCTCGTCCACGCTGTCCGGGATCATCCAACCCACCCACAGCCGCCCGCCACTCTACACCTCGTGGCTGTATCGGTATCGTAGCTTGCCAATCTCGATGGCGGCGACTACTGGAGCGGGCGCGGTACTGGTCAGCCTGGCAGGTTCAGCTAGGTCGGTTCGCTGAACGTGCCGTACATTGCGATGCAAGGATGTGTCATGCCGAGGCAGGGTCGACCTGCTTGCTTGTCGCTCGAGTTCGGAAAGCAGGATTCAACAGACGCGATCGACGACCCGACCGACCATCCCCCTCGCTGGCATCAACGGATCGGTTCGGCGGCCCAACGATGCCATCGCCGAGATGGTCAAATGCCGCACGAGCAAAGTGCGCGGAGGCGTCAAATGGCATGGTATTCCACAGAGCTTTTCGTCCTCATCGCCGGAGGGAAAGGTGCGGGCGGCGCGCGAGGATGGGCGGCAAGAATCTAGCGAGGAGCGGCCCAGCTCAAGAGTCCATCCTGTGGCAGCGTCGAATCGAGGAACGAGGATGGTCAGCGGATCCCCGGGTTGCCACCGGCGCAGTCGAGCGAGAAACGCGACATGGCAGCTCGCCGCAGCTGGACCGGACAGTACTCACTCGCTGACGCACTCCCAGGCGCCCTTGAGATTCTCCTTCCACAGCGTAATCTTCCCATCGCCTCCGCTGACGGCGAGCACGTTGCCGCTGACGCTCCAGCTCACCCTCCAGACGGTATCGGGGAACTTGTTGCTCGCGCCGCCGGCGCCCGCCGCTCCGGTCGATGCTGCCGTGCCAGCGACCGCAGCGGCGCCCGCCGACGTCGAGGCCGGGTTGAGCGCCGTCTTGGTCCAGGCTGATGTGGGGCTGTCTTGGGTCCAGATGAGGACGGTGCGGTCCTGCGATGCCGAGGCGAGGTAGCTCTTGGGAAGGCCGATGTTGGGCGCGAAAGCAACGTCGCGCACCCAGTCGGTGTGGCCTTCCAACGACTCGACCTCGACGTACCGGTTGGCCTCATCGTTGAACTGCCAGATCTTGACCGTGTTGTCGCAGCCGGCCGAGGCGAAGCGCTTGATCAGCTTGCCGCCCTCGTCGCCCGCCTGTCCCTGCGCTGCACCCGGTCCCGCCGCTGACGTCTGTGCCGAGATGAGCGAGCCAGGGTAGGTCGCGGGCGCCCACGAGACGGCGTTGCAGCCGACGGGGTGGGCCGACACGATGTCGACCGCCCATGTCCCGTCGTCTGGCGGCGTGGCGAATGGAACGAGACAGGGAGTCGGTTGAGATGGGCATTCGAATCAGGGACCGGGGTTCTGCAAGCGTACCAGGCAGAGGGCCAGGGCCAGGACGGCGCAGTACTCACTGTTGAAGGTCAGGACCGAGACGTTGCCGTCAGAAGACGCGCAGGCCAGGACCGAGCCGAGCTCGTGCGGCGCCCAAGCGATCGAGTTGACTGCAGATCAGATCAGTTGCAGACATGGCCGGAATTGGCAGTTCTCGAGGGTCAGCTGCTGTATGCACGACGAGCTGCCTCCGTCGCCGCCTCCGCTGCGGCCGCCTCACTCACCCGACGCAGTGTGAAGGGCGTGCTCCTTGATCTTGGACCACCCTCCGGCGCTGGAGGGCGGGGCGCCATAGGCGCCGCTGCCTCCGTAGGGGTTCGAGTGGGACTGTGCGGCCGAGCCCTGGCCTCCGGCGCCGTTGCTGTCCTTCCAGATGATGACCTTTCCGTCGTAGGAGCAGCTGGCGAGGATGGGGCCGAATGTGGGGTGGGCCCAGGCGACCTGCCAGACGGGGCCCTGGTGCCCGACGAGGGTCTCTCCGGTGGTCGAGGGGGTGCCGTTGACGACGTCAAACACCTTGACGGTCCTGTCCGAGGAGCAGGTGGCGAGGCGCTTGCCGTAGAAGTCGAGCTGGGCGTCGTGGATCATGTCCTCGTGCTGCGTCTCGATGTTCTTAGGCTTCTCTGCCGAGAGCGAAAGGCTGGCCGAGGGTTGCGTCATGGTGGCGCCAGTTGCCTGCAATCCACCAGGCGCAGAGCGTAGACGGAGACGGATCAGCGTCGACGCTACGCGTACCAGCCACGGCCACAAGACGCTGGCCAGCGAACCGCCTGGGACCAGGGCTCATCCCGGACTCACCATTTCCGGCAGCACGTCGAAGTTCACAGAGAGGTTCCTGGGTCGCGAGATGGGTCCGGGAGCCAAGTTTGGCGGAAGAGGAGCTGAGGCGCACGAGTCGAAAGGGAGCCGGACAGCGAGATGTGAGGAAGCCAAAGCAAAATTGCGATGCGGACGGCAGGGTGAAGGTGCGGGTGGTGTTGGTCGTTTGCGCCGGCAGCGAGCGGCCGGGCTGGGCTCGTTGGCTGGACTTGCCTGCCTGGCTGGCCTGGCCTGGCCTGGCCTGGGCAGGGGCCTCGACTTGCCAGGCTGGCCCAACCGCGGCCAGCGCGCCGGTTCCCGAGCCAGCAGGCTGCTGGCACCGCGGCTTGGTGATCGACTCTTTTTCGCGCGAAAGAATTTCGCCGTGGCCCAGCCGGGCCGCGCCTTGCTTTGTTTCCTCGCCTGCTCGACGGGTGGGTGCAGATATGGGTGGGTGGGTGCCCTCGCCTGGCTGGGGCAGTGGGGCGCAAACTCTTCCCGAGCCTCCATCGCCATCCATCAATCGATGCGCCACGCTGCTCCGCTTGCTTGCTTGCTGCTACAGTCCCACCATCCCCACTCACCGACCCCTCCTGCAGCTCGCACCGATCCGTCTCCGAAGCTGGGTATCATGTTTCTCAACATCGACGGCAATATGTAATCTCACCGTTCGACCTTCGCCGCGTTTCGCACCTTGTCGGCTCTCGCCCGACGCGGTCTCCGCGACTCTTTCGGGGCGCGGCGCCCGCAGCACGTCAGCATGACAGCAGCACAGAGGCCTCTGCGCCCGCTCGACGAGGCCCAAGGGAGGCGACAGGCGCAGTCACCAGGCGACGACGTACGCAGGACCAACGTGGGTGGTACATACGTACATAGGACGATGGCATGCGGACCCGCATCCGGTCATACATATATATCTGCGGCGTTCAGTAGCAGCGGCGCGCCAAGTGGGCGGCTGTCGCGCGGGCGCAGCTTGCACGGCAACGCCCGGGGCGTCGATGGCAAGAATGACCTCTGTTGCGTCGACAGAGCGGGCCACGCACAACCATCACGGCCGGGCCGGCGCTCGCAAAGGTGGATCTGTAGCCGGCCTCGGACCTCCGTACGTGACCGTGCCTGAGTCTTGAGCTACATATTGGGGTGGCACTCATATTGTGTACCATGTCGCTGCTCATTTGCGCTAAGGTGGGGTCGGACAGGATGCTGCGTCCGGAATGGCTGCCGGATCTGCTCGGTGGCTCGATCAAGCAGGCTCCTCGTTTGCGACCCGGACCGTTGGCCCCCTACATCGTCTCGGGCGCCGAGCTCTGTCTCTGCCTAGCTGTGCCAGCAGCGTAGGTGCAGCCCCGTCGCGCAGGCGCTGCGACCTCTTGCTTTGCCACATCGTGCTCTTCGGGCCTCGTAGGCAATAAAAGGGGTGGGTATGTAGCCTCTTCACCTTCTTCCTCGTCCCTCAACCCCTTTTGACCATCGAACGACCTCGCCATCCCACCCGCTCGAGCGACAGGTTGCCCCGATTTCCCCCCTTCACGTCCTCTGCTACGTCGATCCCGAGGTGAGTTGTTGCACCTTCGCGTCGCGTCGCGTGAGGGATGCTGGCTGGCCGATCGCTGATGGCTTCCGCACGTCGATGCGTCCAGCCCAAACTCTTTTCTCATCTCCATCAGCTTGGTGCAAGATGCCCTCCTTCAAGGTCCAGTACGGTCTCGTCGCCCTCGCCTTCAGCCTGGCGCTGTCGGGCCGCTCGATGACGGCTTCAGCGGCTTCGGTCCCCCCTTCCGCCGGTGGCTCTGCGGCCAAGTCGTCGGTCTTCGACACCGACTACTTCCAGAATCCCAAGCAGACCGGCTCGGTCTGGCTCAGCCCGCCCACTGATGCGGCCAAGGCTTTCGCTCAGAGCTGCATCGCGGCGACCGACGCCTTCCTCAACCACCCGGAGACGACCAACGCGAGCTTCCTCGAGTACCGCAAGGAGATCAAGCCGTGCGACGAGGACGACATCAAGCGCCTGCCGTCGTTCTACCAGCATCAAGGCGACTACGAGGTCACGGGCTCCAAGTGCGCCCTCATCAAGCACCTGCACTTGAAGGGCAAGGACGGTCGCGTCGCCGGCAAGAACCCCGGCGACCCCCAGTGGCAGCCCCAGAGGCCCCCCGGTGTCTCGTTCTACTACCAGAACAGCATGTTCAACACGGGCAAGAAGGGCGGCAAGCCCGACGTCTCGGCCTTCGCCGCCGTCGCCCGCTGCTTTGACGTCGATACCTTCAACCTCCTCATCAGCCCAGAGGAGGCCGACGTGCTGGGCTGGCAGCACCCCGTGCCGTACCAGCCGGCCGAGCCGTACAGCTCCGAGATGTTTGACGTCTCGACCAAGGACATGACCGACGCCGTCGCCCGCATGGCCACCGCCTGCTCCTACACCTTCTGCATCGCTTCGGGCCAGCAGTTCCACGCGCCCGCGGCGACTTCGCAGAAGAGTGTCAACGACGTCAGCAAGGTCTCGGACAGCACACGCGCAAAGAAGATCCAGGAGGCTCTCGAGGCCCAGCAGGTGCTCGGAGCGCAGTAGGGTGGCCGGCAGGACGTGTGTCGCGGCATCGTCGACGTCGTCCACCTGCGTCGACGCGGCCGAGCGGCCGTGGCCGTCGATACCGCATAGCGCACGGTCATGCTGCCTCCAGTCTCTTCTCCCGTTCAGTCGCTCCCCTTTGAGCTCATCTCGGTCGAGGCCGCCTTTCGGCCGGTTCCGGGAAGCGACTTTGCCGTCGAGTGGTTCGGGCCCTTGATCTATGCCAAACCCCTCCTCCCAGCATGGTATCCCTCTCTATTCTCCGTCGTTCCCTTTCCTCCGAAGCATCCTTGTCGCCTCCACTTTGCATGGCGATCTGTTGTGGGTTGGACGTGTTCGACCGCGAAGGGCCTTGTCGTTGGCTGACAAGGACAGGCTGGCCATACCCGAGGCAGAACCGGTCGGCGAGAAAGGCACATGGACAAGAAGAGGCGTCGACACATCGCAAACCGAATGCACGGGGCCGTTTCAAGCGTAGGTCACCGCGAGCTCGAAGTTGCGCGTCGAGGTCACGACGAGCGAAGCGTCCAGCTGACGCGGCCTCGACCAGCTGGCACAGAGAGGCTACCGGCAGCTGCATGCGAGCGGGGGTGAAATGCGAGGTCGATCCCAAGGCCGAGCAAGGTGGGCTGCGCTGGTCATGGATGTTGGCGCATCGCGAGCCATTTTGCTCCGAGGCGCATACGATGGATGTGCGGGTCGGACTTTTGCGCGTGCGCATGCGCATGCGTGAAGGAGCGAGCGGGCAAGCAAGCTAAGGACAGGACGAGCACCCATGCCGGAGCCGAGGCCAGCTTGCGCTCCGTGTGGCGTGAGCAGCCAGGCAGGCGAGGCAACAGAGGCTTCTCCCTCGCCGCAGGATCCCTAGGCGGGCCGCAGCATGGCTCGAGAAACCAGAAGGTTGCCGGGGGATGCCGATGCTGATGGTGGTGGTGGTGGTGGGGGCGAGGGCCCAGCCGTAGGCTAGGGTCTGCCCTGCCTCGTTTCCGAGGTGCGCTGTACCGGGCCAGGCCACCAATGAAGCGAGGCAGCGCGCGGCCTGGCCGACTGCCCAAATAGGCAGGGCAGGCGGCTGCTGGGCCGAGCCCTAGCCGGTCTACGCCTGCAATGGCCGATCGGGTGTGGCTCCGCGTGCGGTGCGGGATTTCCCTCGCCTTTTTCCACAGGTTTTCCCGCCAGGCTCTCGACCCTTGCCTCGTCTTCTGCCGCCATCTTCCCCACGGCCACTCCGTCTGATTGCTCCGTCACCGTCGTCGAGGACCGCTGGAATAGGGGCTAGATGTTACATGCTGGTTCCACCTCCTCGAGCATCGTAAAACTTCTCTCTCCCAACGCTCAGACGGCCTGCTTACTCACTCGGCCCGCAAGAGCCGCGGTGCCACGCTTTGCGGCGGCACGCCCACAAACGTACCTTCGTTGCTCGACCGTGGCCCGTCTTGAATAACCTGCCCTTCTCAGCCTAGCTCGCTCCTTAGCGCTGTGGCGGGGACGAAGACGGCGGCGGCGGTGTCGCGATCGCCCTTCACAGCGCGAGCAAACGCTACATCAGTACGGCACGCCACGGAGCGATGAGACATGCCGTGGGAACCATCGACCGCGGAGACGGAGCGTGCGAAAAGTCGCCCGTCAACTCTCCCCATGGTCGCGACCTGCTTCGAAGGCGGTGCAGCCTTGGCCTTCCTTGCGCCTTGGTCCTGTACCCGGGACTGCCCTCGTCCGGTCCCGGCTCTTCCGCGTGCGAAGCGAGTCGACGGCCGGACCGACCGACCGACTGCGGATTCGGCCCGATACAGTACCGCGAGTTGGATGCCCACGCTGCTGCTGCTGCTCCGGAGAGCCTGTGGCCCGCCTGGCAACCCCTGTGCGGCCGAAGAGGGGCAGCGAGACGCGACCTGCTCGACACGATCCGCGCGCACCACGGATCGCGAGCAACGACGGCGTCGGAAGCGCAACGCGGCTTGGCCTGGCCCTTGGCCTTTTCCCCGGACCACGTACTTCGGGGTGCGGCGTGTGCACGCGCCGCACGACGGCCTAGAGTAGATGGCTCGAACAGCAGCAGCGACTGCTGACACTCTGACCGACCTGCTCGACGGCGCTCAATATATCGCGGGCCGGGGCCGAGGGTCGAAGGACAGATGGCGAGAACACTCGAGCGACCGACACGACGACGCCGCGGCACCTGGTAGATTGGACCCATCGACGGTGTGGTGGCGGTGGCGGAGAGGGACGGGCAATCGCGGCTAGCTCCCGACCCGGGCCAGCCCTGACCACACGCAGGCAGGTAGCGATAACTGCCTAGGCTCTGTGCCTACGCACCCGTCGACGCGAAAGCAGGCAGCAGGTCGCTGCAGCTCGGCCAAGACCGCAGGCAGTCAGGCAGCACCAGCCAACCAGCCATCAGGAAGCGGGCAGCAGGCAGCGGGGGTCATGCGGCCCATCTGCTGGTCGCGTCTTCTGCTCGAATGACCGAGGGGCGAAGAGCAAGCAAGCTGATTTCGGGGGGAGAGCCGCCATCGAGCCCGGTCTTGCTGCTTGCTTGCTCGCTCGCTCTCGCTGGTTGATCCGCACCGGAGGCGGGTTTTCTGGTCTCCATCGACGGTGTGCCTGGGGCCTGGCAGCTGCTCTGGTTCCTGAGCGACGGGGCGGCTGTGCGTGCGTGCGTGCGTGTTGTTGTTTGCTTAGCCTGCTTGCTGGTTCTTGCTCCTCGCCAGCGGCGGATTCGGACCAGGAGAATCAACAACGACGTACGACGAACGGTGCGGCTGACCTGCTTCTTTGGGATGGATGGGATGTCCCGCCTGCCTGCCTACCTCTGCTTGCTGCCCTCCTTGGCTGGCTGCCCGCCTGCTTGTGTGCCCACCCGCTCTGCCGGGCTTCGGAAAACGTCACAACGAACGAGGGTCCTGGCCTCGCCTCGGTCGGCAGACCCTGACGCTCGCTCGCCTACCGCTGCGCTGCGCTGCCTGCTGGCTCCCAGGGTCTACCTCCGCTTGATTGCTTGCTTCTTCTTCGGCGTGTTGCTCAACCTCTTCTCACAGGACGGGACGGACAAGCCGCTCACCAAGAGTCGGCCTCAGAGGCGTGTTTCGAGGTCAGCCAGCGCCTGCCTATGTCGCCGGACCGCTACCGTGGCTTCCCAGGCAGCTCGTCGCGGACAGCAAACGGGACGGCCCGTCGCCGTCGACCAGGTGTTTGCGTGTGGCGCAGTCGCCCTCCGCTCCCTCTTGGCCGTGGCCGGATGACCAGGGTCGGCTTGCCCCGCCGCCGCTGGGTGGAAGGTGCGGGCGGCTGGGTGGAAGGTGCGGATGAACGGAACTCAGATCGAAGAAGAGGTGGGACCGCTGCCCGCCCGCCTTGGTCCGTTGTTGACCGACGGCATCCTCTCGACCCGTCGACTGTCGACTGCCGCTGCCGCTGCGAGCGTCCCTTCCCCGCCATCGTCGGATGCTTCCCGCCCCTCACTTCTCCCCCTCCTCACCCGCCTCCATCATTCGCCAGCACCATTCCGCCAAGCCGGCTCTGATCCATCGACCGACGTCGAGCCACCTGCTTGTTGCGGCTGCCACCCAGAGCGCAAGGCGCAACAAAGCTCGACTGCAGCTCAGTAGCAATCGCCCCCAGCTCCGCCCCGCCCCCGCTCCCGGCCCGACTGCCGCCGAAAACCCATCCACCTACCTGTGTCATCACCACCATCCAACAACGGCGCGGCTGCCGTGGACCTCGGTATCATCCGCACATCGATCCCTGCTGCGTGAGAGACGATATCTCGAGCTTGCCACCTCCCTTCTCCGCGCCATTCTCGAGGGCCGGCCAAAGGGGACCTGATCGCCTTTCCCAACGACTCGACATCGGACAGACCCCGCCCTGGCTGGATGGCACTCCGGTCGTTCTGAGGCGCATCCGCCATCCCGATCCTAGCCATGCCCATCACCACCGCTGCCATGCTTGCCTCGAACAACCGGCGCAGAGGATGGGTCAACAGCCACTACGACAATGACATCGAAGATGACGGCGATGCGGGGGGCCACCGGCGCGCCAGAGGGCTTGGAGCAGGACAGGGCTTCGATCCCAGGAAGAATGTCGCCGTGTGGAACAGTGGATTGGGGCCTTCCAAGGACTCGATCCCATCTCGCAAGTCGTCACTCGCATCCGAAGTTCCCGGATCTGGGCAGGAAGGGCAGTCGAGCTGGCCCTCCACGCCGTACTCGCCATCGTCGGCAGAGGCTGGACCGTCGAGGCTGCCCTACAGCCCCGCCTCCAGCGCTCCAGGCACGCCTACCACGCCTATCTCGCCGACCGGTCCCAGGCATGCGCGCACGCCGTCGGGCCGCATCATCGGCGCGTCGGCCTACAGCGACCATCAGAGGATCATGGCTGCCGCTCGATCCGCCCATGGAAGCCCCTCGGCCACTCGATCGCCGCAGAGACCCGGGCGACGCGATGCGCGGCAGCAGCCTTCCACTGCCTCCTCTTCCTCGTCGAACCACTCTCACGGAGCTCACGAGGCGACGGCGTCTGCCTCGTCGTCGCTGTCCCACGGAGACACTGGTAGCTCTACTTTCGACCGTCCTTCGACCGGGTCGAGCGTAGCCACATCGCCTCCAGCTTCGTCAGCCCACGGCTCGGATTTGGAGGCAGAAGCCAAGGCAGCCTACCAGCATGTGGCCTCGCCTGCTGCATCATCGCCATCGCCATTCCCCTCTTCACCTTCGTCACACAACAACATCTACAGGAAGACAAACGGCTCGCTTCTCGCGTCGGTGAAGCCTATGCCGCCAGTCGTCGAGCGATCGACGACACCAGACGCAGAATCCGCGCTCTCTTCTTCGTCGGCTCGAGGCGGCAGCAGCAAGCCGAAGCCCATCGCAAAGAACGGGCTCGGGAAGCGAGGGGATCTGCGGATCGAGCTGCCGCCCTCGCGTGGTTACAAGTCGGCCTATCCGGCCATCCTGGTCGACTCGAGCCATCTAAACGACGACGGTGACGACGACGACGACTTCCTCTGCCGCTCCCGAAGAGAGGCCGGCGACGAGAGCGACGGAGACGACTCCAGCTGGCCTTCGACGCCGTCGACGACGCCGCTGGAGATGTATCTCGCCTCGCCGGGCGTGCAGGACGCCATATCCGAATCGGAACGGGGGCCCATGTCTGATGGCGCCGCCGTCCGAGCCGCATATCTCACGGCTGATTCGAGCGCAACGAGGGCGGCCCAGACTTCCGCCGCGGCATCCGAGCGGGCGCTGGCCAAGGCGACGGAGCAGGCCGAGGAAGGCTCCCTGCCGAGGTCGACGACGACAGCAGGGAATGACACGACCGCTGCATCAGCGAGCACGCCGCCGCAAGTGGCCTCGAGCTCGAAGGCGGAAGCTCCCGTCAAATCCACGTCGATGCCCAGAGAAGACCCTGCTGCCTCGACGCAGCAGGCACTGGGTCGTGGACGTCCGACCCTGTCCTTTGACCTTCCAAAGCAGATGCCGCTGAAGCCGTCGCAGGAGCCTCCGAAGAAGACTGTGCCGGAATCGCCAAGGAGGCCCTCGGCCGGCTTCCTGGCTCGGGCAGCGACGAAGCTCACCTCGCCAAAGACCTCGTCGAAGACGCCTCTGTCGGCGACCGACAACGCTGCGACGGGGAAGGAGGCGAACCAGCAGACGACGGAGCCCACCGGCATCCCGTGCCCGCCACAGTGGATCCGCGAAGCCGAGCAGCGTCGATCGCTCGAGCAGGAACGCCCTGCGATACAGGGAAAGCGGCGGTCGTTTGAACTGCGTCCGATCCTGCTCAACCCGACCGCCAACCAGTCGAGGACGAGCGTCGTCGGATCGCCTGCCCCGGGCGGGCCTGCCACGGCGACGCAGCCCAGCCATGTCCACTCTGGAACCAACGTCGGTGGCCTGCAGTACACGAAGCGCTCGTCGGACCAATCCCACGTCTCTTCGACGGCTTCGCTGGCTATGCCCGGCCGCGCCTCGGACGTGTCGGATGATGTCTTGACGGCGTCGCCGCGCGCCTCGACGACCATCACCGTGCCCTCCCCCAACCTGAGCTCCGAGGGCAAGCAGCTGCAGCTCATCGAGCAGGAAGCGGCCCTCCGCCGTCCATCGACATCTCCCGCATCGGCCGCCGAAGCGACCGACCGCTATACGCAGCTTCCGGTCTCGGCGTCGAGGCGGGCGGTCCTCGCCTCTTCGAGGGCGGCCGCCAACAACGAGGCGGAGCTTCAGGCTCGACTGCAGAGGGAACTGCTGCAGGAGCACATCGACCGGCAACGCGGCCGGGTGATGCAGGACACGGACTCGATCGTAGACTGGATCGAAGTCTCTGCCAAGGACTTGCCCGACGCAGGCAGGGGCGGCGCAGAGGTGGTCTACGGCAACGGCGGAAAGGGCGCCTACAGCAACGAGCAGATCGGTCGCAGGGCGAGCGTCGGTGGCGGCGGCGGCGGCGGCGGAAACCATCGGCCGTGGCGCTTCGGGCGCTTCTCGGCTTCCAACGTCACCCTGCCGCAGCCTCAGGCGGCCAACCAGTCGGCAGCGGGGGCCGGGGCGGTGATGGCGAAGCGCAAGCTGTCGATTCTCCGACGCAACAAGGCCGATATGACAATCGCTGCAGCTTCCGGCCCCACTGTGAAGTCTCATGGCGCCGCCTCAACGGGACACCTGCCGAACCCGTCGACAGGCGACGTAGGCAACGCGTCGAAGGTCAGCCTGCGCGCACCAGTGATGACTGCGGAAAGCCATGCGGCAGGCAAGAGGAACGAAGCCTTCACTCCTAACCTTGGATGGACGTCGGCCAACCGGAACGCTGCGTTGCAGGAACTCTGCCAGAAGCGGTCGGTTGCCGGTCTCGCTGCGGCCTGCCTCACCGTCGCCAGCCTTGGAGGCAGTCATGCACCCTTCCCCGTCCCGCAACACTCGCGCCCACCCGTCCAGCGACCTCCCCGGCCTCCTCGTCCCAGCCGAGCCGATGGCGTCGTGAGGCCGCCAAAGTCGCCGGAGAGGAAACACAGCACTGCAGCCAGGCCGAAGGCGCCGGTCGAAGCGGCCGTGGAACGTCAGAGACCCGGCGTTGCCGCAGGAGAAGATGCCGCTGCAGTCAGGAACGGAGCGCGTCCGCCGGCTGACTCGAACAGGGACAGAGCCAAGCTGCTCGAGCAGGCGCGGCACGCCGCCAGGCTCGACCCCGCCTCGCCGACATATGGCTCTGCCGTTGCACCCGGGCATCCCGACTTCCAGCCAGCGTACGAGCTGACGGACCACTCTCACACCGTCAAGTCGATCCACCCCGAAGTCGGCAGCTGGAGCATCGACGACCTCGACGATGAAGACGACGACGCCTTCATCGATAGCGATAGCGACGACGGCCTCGACAGCAGCGACGAAGAGGACGATGCCGAGGTGCCGCGGCAGATGACGGGCTTCGCTCCGTATGCCGCTCACCGTCCTGCTGAGACGTCGCTGCAGCATCTCGTTGTAGTGCCACCGCAATCGCCGCCGCGATCACCACCGCGGCGACAGAGGCAACAGCAGCAGCAGGCACAGCAGAAGGTGCAGCAGCAGGCGCAACAGCAGGAGAACCAAGAGCAAGAACCGAGTGCGATGGGCGTCTTCTTCTCGTCAATCCGAGGCGCGCCAGAATCGCTGCAGCCACCGGGGAACAAAGCCCCCTCGAGCCCTGGGACAGGCCGGACTGACGGACGGTGCCTTCCGCAGCTGTCGCGCAAGTTCAGCCTGCGCAACGGTGCCGTCACCAATCGCGGCAAGGAGATCCGGCTGTGCGTGCAGGAGCCCGTCTCGGCTCCGTCCGGGCCAACGTCGAAGAGCTCGCCGGCGACAACGGCAGCCGCAGAAACGGTCCCGGTGACGTGGAAGGCGGTGCGGGTGCAGCACCTGGCCAATTCGACGTGCGAGGATCTGGGCTATTTGGCCTCGCGCCGGGCCCAAGCTCGCAAGACGCGCGCCATGAGCCTCGAGGCCGAGGTACAGCGCGGACAGTTTGCCAGCTTTGTCGGCCTGAGCAGCCCAAAACGCAAGGGACGCGGGCCCGGGACCGATACGCCCGCCTCAGCATCACCCGGTGGCGGCGAGGTCGAGGCGCGACGGATCGACGACGACGAGGACCTCTTCATTTCCAAGGCCGGCGGCACCAAGGCCTACGTCGTGGGGCGGCCAGATCTGCCGCGCAACCACCGCGAGGAATACCTCGAGATTGTGGCTCGAGCTTCGCCGACGGCGGCAAGACCGACGCCGTCGTCGCTGTCGTCGTCGTCGGCCTCGGCCAACGGGACGTACCACGACGAGCAGCTGCCCATCCGGTACTCTGTCGACGAGCAGAGCCGCGCCGACCGGGACAGGTTGCCGGGTACGCCCATGTTTGACCTGGACCGCGCCTTTCCCTCTCCGCTCAACGTGCGGCCTGGTCGACGCTCGTCTCAGGACTCGCAGCGCCACGATGCCTCGGCCGGTGGTGGCAGCGGCGGTGGCGATGCGTTAGGGTGGACTGGCGCCGAGGTGGTGCAGGTCCACGTGCGCCGGCGCGGGCTGCACGGTCTGCGAGCCAGCTTTGACGCGAGCGACGGACGCCGGTGGTTCTGGCGCACCAATGCCCCGACGATGCTGAGCGGCGCCGCGGCGGCGACGTCGGCGTC